CAAAATTACAACTATAGAACAACCATCATTTAGAAATGCCTGAAATCTGGCAGAATGAAAGGCCCACAATTTGGCAGAATGAAAGTCCTATATCTAGGGAATGAAAGAAGAAGCCACATAGAGACTAGCTGGAGGAGCAGAGATGCAAAACAGGCTGGTCCCATACCCATGTGTGGAGGATAAAAATCAGGAGAGAGATCTTGGCTGCAGAGATTCCCCCTGAGGAGCGAGGGGTCCCCGTCCCACACCAGGCCCCCCAACCCAAGGTTCTAATACCAGGAAGAGAAGTCCCCATAACTGCTGGCTGTAAAAACCAGCTGGGACTGAGGCTGTGGGAGTTCCAGGCAATTTCTCTTGTGCTCATGCAGGGACTTGCTTGGACTCACTTCCTCTGAGCTCTAGCCCTGGGGCAGTAGCTTGAAAGGTACCAGAGACATCCGGGGAAGAACTAAATTGTGGCAGCTTTCTCCCAGACAAAGTGCTGGCAGAAGCCATTGTTTCTTTGATGAGCCCTCCCCACACAGGGCCAGAGGTGAGTGCCATATTCGAGACTCCATCAACTTGAATATCACTTTTTTCCCCACCCTGGTGATTCCCATTCAGAACAGCAAAAAAGAAAGAAGAAGAAGGAGAAGGAGAAGGAGAAGGAGAAGGAGAAGGAGAAGGAGAAGGAGAAGGAGAAGGAGAAGAAGAAAACAATGAGGACAGTGTAAGGAGCCTCTGGGACAACTTTAAGTGCACCAACATTCACATCATGGGAATGCCAGAAGGAGAAGAGAGTGCAAGAAATTGAAAACTTATTTGAAAAAATAATAACAGAAAACTTTCCTATCTTGGTGAAGGAAATAGACATATACGTTTAGAAAGCACAGAGTCCCAAACAAGATGAACCCAAGAGACCCACACCAAGACACATCATAATTAAAATGCAAAGGTTAAAGACAAAGAGAGCATCTTTTTTTGTTAGTTTGTTAATCCTTACCCGAGGATATTTTTTTCCATTGATTTTTTTTTTTTTTTAGAGAGAGTGGAAGGGAGGGAGGGGGAGAGAGGGTGAGAGAGTGAGAGAAACATTGATGTGAGAGAGACACATCAATTAGTTACCTCCCAAAAGCACCCTGACCAAAGTGCGGAATAGAATCTGCAAGCCAGGTAAATGCCCTTGACTGGGAATCAAACTTGCAACCCTTCGGTGTGAGAGCTGAAGCACTAACCACTGAGCCATGCCAGCCAGGACCAAAGAGAGGATCTTAAAAGCAGTAAGAGAAAAGCAGTTAGTTACCTACCAGGGAGCTTCCATAAGACTGTCAGCTGATTTCTCAACAAAAACTTTACAGGCCAGAAGGGATTGGCAAGAAATATTCAGTGATTAAAAGCAAGGACCTACGACCAAGATTACTTTACCCAGTAAAGCTATCATTTAGAATCAAAGGACATATAAAGAGCTTGCCAGGCAAGAGAAAGCAAAAGGAGTTCACCACCACCAAACCAGTATTACATGAAATATTGAAGGGTCTTCTTGAAGAAGGAGGAGAAGGTAGAAGGAGGAAAAGGAGGATTAAAAATATGAAAGTAGGATTCCAAAATGGCGGCGGAGTGAACGAAAGCTACACAGACCGTCTCCCAGAACCAAACTCGAATTACAACTGTAACACAGACAAATCGATGAGAAAAAGCAACAGAAAAGCAGCTTGCAATGACCATATAACCAGGGACACTGACTCGATCCTGGTAAAATTGTGAAGGTGTGAGACGGGGGCTGGGAGCCCACAGACAGCAGCGGCCTTAGCTGTGAGCAGCGCCCTCAAGTTACACTCCCAAGCGGCTCCACAGTGCAGAGCCAGGACAGAGGCTAAAAAGCCACAGCCACTCACCTTGGACTCCAGCAGAGGGAGGACAGACTGGACTGGAACTGTGTGGGGACACTCGGGATTGTGAGGGCACTCAGAGATTTTGCTGAGTTGCTGCCACACAAAACGGTGGCTATATTGCTCCTTCCCAGGGCTCTGGGAAGAGGCAGCAGCCCCTCCCTCGGAGATCCAACCCCACCCTATTGGCCATTGAAGTGCTAATTGAGTCTCATTAACAACCAGCATCTGCCCCACCCTCGGGAAATCCCCTTATGCTGAGCACCTAAGGGAGTTTTTCAATCAACTGACTACCCAAAACTCTTCAAGTATCCTCCACTGCTAGCCTCCAGGCAAAGAGCTAGAGGATAACAGTACATTTCCTGGGCTAGCAACTTTAACCAGGAAAGTAAGACTTGACAGTGGTGTTTAACGTGGGTCCTCCCTCACTCATCTAAACCCAGGAGAGGGAGCCACAAACAACAGAACACCAACACCCACAGGGAAAATTTGACAGGCTCCAAAGCCCACTGTGATAGTCAAAATGGTGAAACACAGAAACAGAAGCCAAATGAAAGAACAAGAGACCTCCACCGAAGATGAGCTCAATGTGGAGCAGTTAGGCAAATTAACAGAGCTAGAATTCAGAGCCATGATCTTGAGGAAGCTCAACAGCATGAGTAAGGACATAGAGATGCTGAAAATAAACCAATTGGAAATTAAAAACCACCAAGAAGATATAAAAAATGACATATCAGAAATGAAAAACACATTGGAAGGTCTAAAAAGCAGAGTAGAGGAAGCTGAGAACCAGATCAGTGAATTAGAAGACAGGGTAGAAAAACTCAACCAATCAGAAAACCAAAAGGAAAAAAACGATTAAAAACAGGAAGACAGTTTAGGAGAACTGTGGGACAACTGGAAACGTAATAATATTTGCATCATAGGAGTCCCCGAAGAAGAAGAAAATGAGCAAGAGTTAGAGAATATATTTGAAGAAACAGTGACAGAAAACTTCCCTAATTTGGTGAAGGAAGAAGGCATTCAAGTTCAAGAAGCACAGAGAGCCCCAAGTAAGAAGAACCCAAACAGGCCCACACCAAGACACATAGTAATTAAAATGCCAAAAATTAAAGACAGAGAGAATCCTAAAAGCAGCAAGAGATAAGCAACAGGTTACCTACAAAGGAAACCCCATAAGGCTCTCAAATGACTTCTCAGAAGAAACACTACAGCCCAGAAGGCAATGGCATGAAGTAATCAAGGTCATGAAAAACAAGGATATGAATCCAAGACTACTCTACCCAGCAAGGCTATCATTCAAAATAGAAGGTCAAATAAAGAGTTTCCCAGACAAAAAAAAAAAAAAGGCTAAGGGAATACATTAGCACCAAACCAACACTGCAAGAAATGTTAAAAGGACTGCTGTAATTAGTAGAAGAAATAGGAAGAAAAATATAACCACACTAAACAAAAATGGCAATAAACAAGTACATATCAATAATCACCTTAAATGTAAATGGATTGAATGCTCCCATAAAAAGACACAGAGTAGCTGATTGGATAAGAAAGCATGACTCATCTATAGTTGTTTACAAGAGACCCACATCACAACAAAAGACTCACATAGGTTGAAAGTGAAGGGATGAAAAATATTTTCCAAGCAAATGGAAAGCAAGAAAAAGCTGGGGTAGCAGTACTCATATCTGATAAAATAGATTTCAAAATGAAGGCCATAACTAGAGACAAAGAAGGCCGCTACATAATATTGAAAGGATCTATCCAAAAGGAAGATATAACCTTGATAAACATATATGCACCAATATAGGAGCACCAAAATATAGTAAAAATCTTCTGGAGGACTTCCAAGGAGCAATCGACAGCAATACAATCATAGCAGGGGACTTCAACACCCCGTTGGCAGCACTGGATAGATCCTCTAGACAAAAAATTAGCAAGAAAACAGAGACTCTAAATGAAGTACTACACCAAATGGATTTAATAGATATCTACAGAGAATTACACCCCAAAACTATAGAATTCACATTCTTCTCAAGTGCACATGGGATATTCTCAAAGATAGACCACATGTTAAAACACAAACTAAATCTCTACAAGTTCAAAAAGATTGAAATCATATCAAGCATCTTCTCAGATCACAATGGTATGAAACTAGAAATCAATTGCAACAAGAACATGCAAAGACATTTGAACACATGGAAGTTAAATAGCATGTTATTAAACAATGAATGGGTGTCCTGGCCAGTTTGGCTCAGCGGTTAGAGTGTCAGCCTGCGGTCTGGAGAGACCCGGGTTCGGTTCCCGCTAAGGGCACGTACTTCGGTTGCAGTTTGTCCCCGGCCCTGGTTGGTCGTGCGGGTGGCAGCCACTCGATGTGTCCCTTCACGTCGATGTTTCTCACTCTCTCTCCCTTCCTCTCTCTCCCTCCCACTCTATCTGTACAAAAAATGGAAAAAATATCCTCGGGTGAGGATTAAAAAAAAAAAAAAAAAAAACAACAATGAATGGGTTACCAAGGAAATCAAGGAAGAAATTAAAAACTTCCTGGAAACCAATGAAAATGAACACACAACAACACAAAATCTATGGGATGCAGCGAAAGCAATTCTGAGAGGGAAGTTCATAGCACTACAGGCCTACCTCAAAAAACAAGAAAAATTTCTAATTGACTATCTAACCTCACAACTTAAAGAATTAGAAAGCAAACAAAAAGAAAACTCCAGAGCAAGTAGAAGGAAGGAAATAGTGACGATCAGAGCAGAAATAAATGACATAGAGACCAAAAAAACAATTCAAAGGATCAATGAAACAAAGAGCTGGTTTTTCGAAAAGATAAACAAGATTGATGGACCCTTAGCTAGACTCACCAAGAACCAAAGAGAGAAAACCCAAATACACAAAATCAGAAGTGAAAAAGGAGAAGTAACAACCGACAGCACAGAAATACGAAAGATTGTTAACAGCTACTATGAACAACTATATGGCAACAAATTCGACAATCTGAGCGAAATGGACAAATTTTTAGAAACACACAGTCTCCCAAAACTGGACTGGGAAGAGATAGAAAACTTGAACAGACCAATAACAACTAAGGCAATTGAAGAGGTAATCAAGGTCGGACTGGTAGCTCTGTTGTCCTACCGCAGCACCTTCCTCCATGGCAGTTCCCGAGACCCGCCCCAACCACACTATTTATATCAACAACCTCAATGAGAAGATCAAGAAGGATGAGCTGAAGAAGTCCCTGTATGCCATCTTCTCCCAGTTTGGCCAGATCCTGAACATCCTGATTCACGGAGCCTGAAGATGAGGGGCCAGGCCTTTGTCATCTTTAAGGAGGTCAGCAGCGCCACCAATGCCCTGCGCTCAATGCAGGGTTTCCCCTTCTACGACAAGCCCATGTGCATCCAGTACGCCAAGACCGACTCGGATGTCATTGCCAAAATGAAGGGTACCTTTGCGGAGCGTGACCGTAAGCGGGAGAAGAGGAAGCCCAAGAGCCAGGAGACCCCAGCTGCCAAGAAAGCCGTGCAGGACGGGGCAACTGCCCCTGTAGTGGGGGCTGTCCCGGGCATGCTGCCGATGACTCAGGCGCCTGGCATCATGCACCACCTGCCGGGCCAGCCTCCCTACATGCCACCCCCTGGCATGATCCCACCTCCAGGTCTTGCACCCGGCCAGATCCCACCGGGGGCCATGCCTCCACAGCAGCTTATGCCAGGCCAGATGCCACCTGCTCAGCTTCTTTCAGAAAACCCACCAAATCACATCTTGTTCCTTACCAACCTGCCAGAGGAGACCAAGGAGACCAATGAGCTCATGCTATCTATGCTTTTCAACCAGTTCCCTGGCTTCAAGGAGGTCCGGCTGGTCCCAGGGCAGCAGGACATCGCCTTTGTGGAGTTTGACAACGAGGTTCAGGCAGGGGCAGCCAGAGATGCCCTGCAGGGCTTCAAGATCACCCAGAACAACGCCATGAAGATCTCCTTTGCCAAGAAGTAGCGCCTTTTCCCCATGCCTGCCCCTACCCCCTGTTTGGGGGCCTCCCCTCTTCCCCTTGGCTTGGCCTCCTGAAGGTAAGCCCCCTCGGGGGCCTTCTTGGAGCCGCATGTGTGAGTGAGTGGTCACACAGCATTGTACCCAGAGTCTGTCCCCAGACATTGCATCTGGCGCTGTTAGGCTGGAATTAAAGTGTGTTTTTATGTTTGGAAAAAAAAAAAAAAGAAGAAGAGGTAATCAAGACTCTCCCAGCAAACAAAAGCCCAGGCCCAGATGGCTTCACGCGGGAGTTTTACTGAACATTCAAAAAAGAACTAACACCCATTCTCCTCAAACTATTTCAAAAAATTCAAGAAGAACGAAGACTTCCAAACTCATTCTATGAGGTCAGCATAATTCTAATTCCAAAACCAGAAAAAGACACTACAAAGAAAGAAAACTACAAGGCCAATATCCCTGATGAACATAGACACCAAAATCCTGTACAAAATACTAGCAAATCGGATCCAGCAATACATCAAAAAAATTATTCACCATGACCAAGTGGGATTCATTCCAGGGATGCAAGGCTGGTACAATATTCGCAAATCAATAAATGTAATACACCACATAAACAAAATGAAGAATAAAAACCACATGATCATATCAATAGTCGCTGAAAAACCATTTGACAAAATCCAGCATCCATTTCTGATAAAAACGCTCAGCAATGTGGGAGTAGAGGGATCATATCTCGACATAATAAAGGCCATATATGAAAGACCTACAGCCAACATCATACTCAATGGGCAGAAACTAAAAACATTTCCGTTGAGAACAGGAACAAGACAAGGATGCCCACTTTTGCTACTCTTATTTAACATAGTACTGGAAGTCTTAGCCCCAACAATAAGACATGAAGAAAAAATAAAAGGAAAAAAATAAATAAATAAATAAAAGGGATCCAAATTGGAAAGGAGGAAGTGAAACTGTCATTATTTGCAGATGACATGATATTATACATAGAAAACCGTAAAGACTCCACCAAAAATCTACTAGACTTAATAGATGAATTTGGCAAAGTAGCAGGATACAAAACTAACATCAAGAAATCGACGGGCCCTAGCCAGTTTGGCTCAGCGGTTAGAGCGTCGGCCTGCGGTCCCGAGAGACCTGGGTTCGGTTTCCGCTAAGGGCATGTACCTTGGTTGCAGTTTGTCCCCGGCCCTGGTTGGGTTCTGTGGGTGGCAGCCACTCGATGTGTCCCTTTCACATCGATGTTTCTCTCTCTCTTCCTCTCTCCCCCTCCCACTCTACCTGAACAAAAAATAGAAAAAATGTCCTCAGGTGAGGATTAAAAAAAAAAAAAAAGAAATCGACGGCATTCTTATACACCAATGATGAACTCACAGAAAGAGAAACTTAAAAAACAATCCCATTTACCATCGTGGCAAAAAAATTAAGATACCTAGGATAAACTTAACCAAAGAAGTAAAGGACGTATTTGCAGAAAACTACAGGACATTGAAGAAAGAAATAGAGGAAGATATCAAAAAGTGGAAGCATATACCCTGTTCATGGATTAGAAGAATTAACATCATTAAAATGTCTATACTACCCAAAGCAATCTATAGATTCAGTGCAATCCCCATCAAAATACCAACGACATATATCACAGAACTAGAACAAATACTTCAAAAGTTCATATGGAACCAAAAAAGACCCCGAATAGCTACAGCAATTTTGAAAAAGAAGGACAAAGGAGGTTGGATGAAAATACCAGATATCAGGTTATACTACAAGGCGACTGTAATCAAAACAGCCTGGTACTGGCACAAGAACAGGCATATATACCAGTGGAACAGAACTGAGAACCCAGAAATGGACCCAAGGCAATATGCTCAATTAATATTTGACAAAGGTGGCAAGAGCATACAGTGGAGTAAAGATAGCCTCTTTAATAAATGTTGTTGGGAAAATTGGACAGCTACATACAAAAAAATGAAACTTACACCATACACAAAAATAAACTCAAAATGGATAAAAGACTTAAATGTGGCCCCCGAATCCATAAAAATTCTAGAAGAAAGTGTAGGCATCAAAATTTTGGACATCATACACAGCAGAATTTTCACTAATACATCACCTAAGGCAATAGAAACAAAGGAAAAAATGAACACATGGGACTACATCAAACTAAAAAAGTTTCTGCACAGCAAAAGAAACAATCATCAAACGAAAAGGCAACCCACTGTATGGGAGAACATCATTGCCAATGATACATCAGATAAGGGGTTAATTTCCAAAATATATAGGATACTCATACAACTCAACAAAAGGAAGACAAAGAACCCAATTAAAAAATGGGCAGAGGAGCTGAATAGACACCTCTCCAAACAGGACATACAAATGGCTAAGAGACATATGAAGAAATGCTCAACATCACTAATCATCAGAGAGATGCAAATTAAAACAACAATGAGGTATCACCTCACACCTGTCAGAATGGCCGCCATCAACAAATCATCAAACAACAAGTGTTGGCGAGCGTGTGGAGAAAAGGGGACTCTAGTACACTGCTGGTGGGAATGCAGACTGGTGCAGCCACTATGGAAAACAATATGGTGTTACCTCAAAAATTTAAAAATTGAACTTCCATTTGACCCAGTGATCCCACTTCTAGGAATATACCCTAAGAAGCCTGAAACACCAATCAGGAAGAATATCTGTACCCCCCATGGTCATAGCAGCACTATTTACACTAGCTAAGATCTGGAAACAACCCAAGTGTCCATCAGTAGACAAATGGATAAAAAAGCTGTGGTACATATAAACAATGGAATACTACGCAGCTGTAAGAAAGAAAGATCTCTTATCCTTTGAGACGACATGGAGAGACCTGGAAAGTATTATCCTAAGTGAAATAAGCCAAACAGAAAACGACAAATACCACATGATCTCATATACGAAATATAATGAACATAACAGTCTGAGGAATAGGGCAGACCCAGAAACATGAAAGTAGGGCACAGACTGACATCCCTCATAAGAGGGGGTGGGAAGAGATAAACCACAGAACTTATATGCATGTATGCATGACCAATGGACATGGACAACAAAGCCGGGGACGGGGCGGGGGGGGGGCATAGGGGGGTGCCAATGCGGTAAAAAAGGAGAAACATCTGTAACAAAAATAAAAAAAAATAAAAAAGACACTGAGGCACAGAGAGGTTGAGTAATTCATCTGATGTGTAAAAAGCTGTTGTTTTAAAAAGGATATGAACCCAAGCGATATGTGTCTGAATTTGCTTAATCACCACATTTCATGTGGTGCACTGTTGCTTGAATACATTACAGAAATTTCAGAAAGCCAGCATTAATCTTACCATAATATAATATTGTAATTAAAAAATTAAAACCATATACATGGGGTTGAAATCATGAAAACAAAACAAAACAATGGTACATATACACAATGGAGTACTATGCAGCTGTAAGAAAGAAAGATCTCCTTTGAGATGACATGGAGGGACCTGGAGAGTATTATCCTAAGCAAACAAGCCAAGCAGAGAAAGACAAATATCACATGATCTCACTTATTTCTGGAATATAATGAACATAACAGTCTAAGAAACAGGGTAGACCCAGAGACGTGGAAGTAGGGTACGAACTGACAATTCTCAAAACCACAGAACTTATATCCATGTATGCATGAACAATGGACATGGACAACAAAGCTGGGGATGATGTTTTGTTTTGAGGAGGAGGGTGTCAATGGGGAAAAAAGAAGAAACATCTGTAACAAAAATAAATTAATAAAAAAGAAAAAAAATGAAAGTAAAATGGCAATAAATAACATCTAACAACAACTGAATCTTAAAAAACTAAATAAATGAACAAGGAGAACAGACACAGACTCATAAATACAGAAAACATTTCGATTGTTGCCAGATGGAATGGGGGTTGGAGGGATGGGTAAAAAAGGTAAAGGGATTAAGAAGTACAAATTGGTTGTTATAGAATAGTCATGGAGATGTAAAGTACAGTGGAACCTCAGTTCTTAAACTTAATCTGATCTGGAAGGCTGTTCAAAAGTTGAATCATATTTTTCCAATTAGAAATAATGTAAATGGATTAATCCATTTCAGACCCCCAAAGGATTCCCTGTTTTAACTTTTCTTATATACAGTACATGTCTAATTTACTGTTTAATCTATAAATAGACACTTTAAAAACAATAAGGACATAACAATATAAAAATTGAACAAAAAGGAAATAAAATGTACAGTAAAACATGAAAATTTAATACTAATAAGCTGCAACAAAAGCAAGAACACATGAAAATATTCACAGCACAGTTTTCTGAGATGTTAACAATGTGAGGTTTAGTGGTAAACTGACTCATACTTGTACATTTTCTCCTTTGTCACCTGAGACATGCATGACTTACCATACAGGAATCAACATGAAAGGGTTATTGGGTTGGGAAGCAAATTGTTTGAGAAGGAAGACGTTTGAGAACCAATGTTTGACAACATGGGAAATATCATAGAAAATATTCTAATAGCCCTGCTGGTGTGGCTCAATGGTTGAGCATTGACCCATGTACCAAGAGATTGCTGGTTTGATTCTCAGTTAGGGCACATGCCCAGGTTGTGCCAAACCCCCTGTGAGGGGAATGCAGGAGGCAGCCAATCGATGTTCTCTCTCATCAATTTTTCTATCTCCCTTCCTCTCTAAAATCAATAAAGAAAAGAAAAGAAAATCTAATAACTATGTATAGTATCAGATGGGTGAGAGAGTTATTGGGATGATCACTTAGTAAGTTATGTAATGTTGAATCACTTGAGTGTACACCAGAAACTAGTATAATAATGTATGTAAACTGTAATTACAAAATAAAAAAATGATTTAAAAAATAAAAATGAACAAAAAACCTGAAAAAACATTTTTCCAAAGAAGACATACAAATGACCAACAGGTACATGAAAAAGTGCTCGACATCACTAATCATCAGAGAAATGCAAATCAAAACCA